CAGGGACTCAGTGACGGAAACGCTTAGGTCAAGCCAAAGGCACATTTGAAAGCACAGGTTTGGCTTCTAACTTTTAACTCTCAGGTCCTGGAAGAACATTTTCCATCAAATTCCCTTTGGTTTCTTCTTTACCCTTTACTAGGCCGATTTTGTGAAAATTGCCCACCCGGACCCAGCATTCCGAGAGGCTGCGGAAGAAGCCTGCAGGAGTATCGGCACTGTGGTGGAAAAGTACGTGTCATCCCGTGTTCACCGCGTGGGCCGCGGGACCCGGGGGCTCGCTGTGGGAGACGTTGTCCACAGGGCCCGTCTGCCACACACGGTGTGGGGGGGTGGCGTGTGTGATGAATGGAGGAGGGGGCTCTGGACTCGGGCCGTGCCCAGCCGTGTGGCCTTGGCCAGTTCTTTATCTCTGATTGGTCTCCTTGTCTGTAATAGGATAATAAAATTAGCCTTCTCTTGAGATTGTTGTGAGGCTGAACGAGATGAGAAGTATCAAGATGTTTAAAATGGTGTCAGGTACACAGCAAACATCCGATACCATTACTGCCATCATCACTACCTACATCACGTGACAGTTTTTGAGTGAGTTGGAGTTACTAGATTATCGCATGATGAAATTGCTGTTGCCATGGATAGCTGTAGACCACAGGGCAGGACGCCAAAACTACTCACTGCCAAGGTGGGATTAGGGTGGTCTAGGAAGGCCATAAAAAAGCCTGGGAGGGCCAAGGTGGCGGAGGCTGAGGCAGCCACAGTGCGGTGGATAAGTTTAAAGTGATTTTGAGGTAAATCTGAAACATTTTTAAGCCACTGACAAGCGCTCCAAAGGGCTTGTTAAAATAACTCAGAGGTGAGTAGTGCTATATTCAAAAGCACTTGGGTGTAGGATGGAGGAGAGCCCCCTGGGATGTGCCCGTGTGCAGTTAGGATTGGAAGCCATGCCAGGCACCAGTTAGGATTGGAAGGCACACCGGGCAACGTGTTGGGCTTAATTTCGTGAAATCAGACGTAGGGGAACGAGGCTTCCTGGAGGACCTACCACTTCAGGATGGGTTGCTGCTGCCTTTCGCCCCACTGAACAACATTTGGGACAGTAAGTACGGTCTGTAGAGCCACTGAGGATCAGCTCGAGGATGGGATGAAGCGGTCCCTGCAGACTCCAGGCGGTGGCTTGATGGAGGGGCTGGTACCGGAAGCTGTTGGAGAAAGAGGCTTCTGGCATGAAGGGCCACTGGGTCACCTGCTGGGCCCTGTAACTGCTGTGTGGCGGAACTGGACACAGCTCGGTCCTTGTGGACGTGTACCTTCAGTGTATGGGAGCACGGTGGGACGGCGTGGTGTCAAAGCCTGGTCAAGAGTGTCTGCCTGTGGCCTTCATTTCCCACAGACAGCTTCTGAGCCTCTTGTTCTTGACCACACTGCTGCCACCCCAGTCGGCTTGAGGGGCTGGGGTCGGTCGGAAACGGTCTCCGTTGTCCCCTAGAGCTTTGCTTCCTGGTCCCTCGAAGCACCATGACTCTTTTCTCCTTGAGTCTGACTGACTTCCTCAGTGATGTTTAAAAAGTCAGGATGATTTTATTGTGTGTGTAGAATTGCTTTATTTTCTGTTTATAGGAAAAAAATCCCCAACAACCCTACAACAAGGTGCACTTTTTTTTTCAACTGAAGACTGAAGGCCAAATGTAAACTAAAGTGTAGGCTTTACCTCAGGATCTCCTGACAGAACATTGTGTGGGAGATTTACTTAAACTCCTGAAAAGGGCACAGGGAAGGCCACGTTCCTGCCTGCTGTCCTTTGACCCAGGGCAGCTCCCTAGTCCACAGGCCCAAGCAGAGAGGCACCACCCAATTTCTTCCCTGTCTTCCTGGGGCTGGTACCTGGAGCCGGGCAGGAGAGGGTGTTTGGGTAGACCATGAGCGCAGAATCCACAGAAACCCTTTGATTTATGTAAAGTTTCGTTTTGTTGATTGTGAACTAGCTGGGCAACCCGCCCATCCTGGAGTCCTGAGGAAGAATTGGCAGATGGTTTTTATCACCTCGCCCTTAGCTGGGGAGCCCGGGGCAGGGAGCAGACTGTATGAGAACCGCGCACGTTTCAGCCCTGAGAGCGCCAGGGTCGAGGGAGCTGACAGGCGCTGCAGGGCTGGGCTGAGACTGGCCCTAGGTATGGGGCACCATCTGCTCCCCAGCCCTGGACGAGCGTGGCTGGCACGGCCATGGAGCGGTAGCTACAGTTAGCCCGGGAAAGTGTGCTTCACATGCATCATCGAGCCAGTGAGTCCTGCCTGCAACCCGAGGTTGGCATTGTCCTGTTTTATCGTAAGCCAATAGGGTTGAAATAACTTGTCCGAGTCCAGAAGGGTAGTGGAGAAGTCCTCGGTTTATGACTCCAAAGCCCGTCACTGGGCACTCTCACCCGGATGAGGAAGAAGGCAGCCTGCGCTCCACAGTGCTTGGTTTAGGATGAAAAATCTTTGTGTTTGCTCACTCTCCCAACCAGCCTCACTCCTTTCCTTTCATTAAAATAGAGGGGGGAGAAAAGCCCTCTGGCACATTGCTGACGGGAACTGGTTCCGAGTTGCAGCCAGCTGGTTAAACGACCATTTATCCCATCCCTCTCCTCTTCTTCTCTGTCTTCTCTTCCTCCCCAGGCGCTGACTATGGTTTTAGGTTTATTCTTTTCCCTTCCAGAACAGTTAGCCTCTTAACCCCTTGCTTGATCGATTGCCTTTCCCTCTGGGTTGTAATGAGTTCAGTTTCCAAGTTTGTTCCAAATGGAAAAGAAGACAAAAACCTACCCCACACCTTTGGACTTGGAGCATGTGTAAACTAGGGCTGGACACCAGGCTTTTGGTGGAAAGTAACCAATGAGGTATTAGAAAATCATTTATTTTTTTTCTTTTGTAATTTATGTAGGTTGAACACAAACGTGGAGTTATATCAGAGTTTGCAGAGATTGCTGGCTGATGAGAAACTTGTGGAAGCCCTTGACCCAGAAACGAGGTACTCCTTCCTTGGCATTTATGGTGGTGGTGACTGTGGAGGTTATGGGGCAGGTCCTCTGCCTGTGAGGCCCCTCTTCCCAGTGTCCGCATGGTTCATACTTTCCTTAGGGCCCCGCCCGTGTGGTAGCCCCTCCGAGATCTTACACCAGGCCGTGACCCTGCTTCATTTGCTTTGTAGCCCTCATCACTCCCCACATTCCGTGATAGGAGGTTTGTGAATTTGTTTACCTTCTTTCTTTCTGTGCACTGGAAGCTCCCTGAGGGCAGGCACTTGGTCTTTTTTATTCATTGCTGTATCTCAGCACCTAGAACCGTTCATGGCATGTACTAGGTGTCAATCCATGAACTCCTAGAAACAATTGATAAACACACTTAACTTTATGGTTCAAAGGAGCTCTGGTGGCGCAGTGCCTAAGGCATGCGACTGCTAACCAGAATGTTGGAGATTCAAACCTACCAGGCACTACTGGAAGGCTGGGCAATCTACTTCCACAAAGATTTACCGCCTTGGAAACCCAAAAAGGGGTCACTATGAGTCGGAATTGACTCAGTGGCAGTGAGTTTGGTTTTGGTTTGGTTTATAGTTCAAGTTCTGTGATCAGTGCCATCAGAAGATGTAAGCAGATTGATTTCTTCACTGGATTGATGTTAAGATCCTTGAAATAATTTGCTTTGGATCCTTAGATGACATTCATTATTCTGAATTTCAGAGGCCTTATTTCCAAGTTGGGAGCTCTGGTGGCGTAGTGCCTAAGGCACTTGACTGCTAACCAGAAGGCTGGCGGTTCAAACCCACCAGCCACTCCTCGGAAGGAAGGTTGGGCA